AGAAGGAAAAAACAGGGTCCTCAAGTGAGGTAGGATGGAGTGGAGTGAGGGTGCGGCAGAGAATATTGAGAGGTGGAAGAGTGGGGTGGGGTCTCCTGAGGGAATGGAGCCCAAGACAAAGGCAAAAAAAAGAAAGTGGAAACCACGCAGGAGTCACAAAAATGAGTTATAATTGTACTATGGGCCAAGATACAGTTTTGAATTGCAGTTTGGGCAATGTATACAACCCAGCTTTCTGGCCGAAAACGACTGGTGTTCCCTCCATGCCTGGAAATGTAGTGACTGTCTGGTAAAAAGAAGGGGGGAAAAAGAGCACGATCCTGGTCTCCATGCAGTGTAGAGGAGGTCTGTGCGAGCAGTGTCCAGGAGGTCCTTCGGAACATGCATTGAAATTGGAATGATACAGAGAAGATTAGGATGGCCCCTCCGCAAGGATGACACGAGTAAATCACAAACCAGCATCCATCCAGTTTCGTGCGTTATAGGTCATTCTCACCCTACGTAGCACTGTATGTGACTCTAATCAGGCCAGAGTTCGATACATCGCATTGCAATTAGGTCCAGAGCCCGCTCGTAAAAGCCATAGTTTGGTCAGATACGCCCCGAGGACAGATATGTTAACCCTCTGACCAATCACCTGAAGGATAAATGTGGGCTGAGAGCTAGTTGCACTAGGACTTTAACTGCAGCCTGATACATCTTGGTCAAATTGATGTGGGAGTTTGGTCAGATACATCCAAAAGTGCTGATGTGGGTATGAGGTGATGCTGCTGGTGAAGGTGGTCCCACTTACAAGGCTTCTCCTTTTTCCGACCATAGATAAATTGTGCACATAGATGGAGGGGAGTGGATGGAGGGGAGTGAGGGATTTCGTTTTTTTTTTTTTTTTTTTTGGACAGAAAGTGGGATCTCTCCCTTTTCTTTTTTCTGGTGTTAAAGTTTTTCTTGTTGCTGTTTTTGTGTGTCTACTTTGTTTAAATTTCTCCCTTCTCCTTTTTGTGTGTCTAACACTAGCTCAGTTGGTTAGGCACGCAAGTTGCATTCAGGAGGTCATGGGTTCAATGCCCGTAGCCGCGCCTAAGCACACGTGGCGCCAACCAACCAAGATAGTCAGCTGGATTCTCCTGGTCGGTATTAGTATGGTGTTGGCCAACGCACGTGTGAGTGCAACTTGGTGTGAGTGAGTTGCATGTGGTGTGTGGGAGCGTGTTGACCTTAGAGACTGCTGTTATTCAATAGGGTGGGGGGAAATGAAAAAGGGAGGCACAGATACTGGCAAAATGCTCAGTCTTTGTGTTAGACGGACCCCGACTGGCGGCCCCAACCCTGCACCCTAAAGCACTAGCCTAAGGGCAAGGGGCAACATGCATCCCCTTTCATTGTGAGAGTCAAGGAGCTATGCTTGCATCAGTACCTTGTATAGCCTTAAGAGTATTGGTTGGTAGGTAGCGGAAGTTGAATTTGAAAGAATTTGAGAGAAGATGAAAGAATGTGGAGAAGAATAGAGTGTAGTCCAAAAAAAAAAGAAGCAAAAACTAGGGCGCACTCACGGTTTCAGTCATGATTTCACGTATGTTTCTCCAAAGCGAGGGAACCCGTGACTGTATACAACCAAGCTGGGGATGTGTTGTGTTTGAAGGATGCCTGAAGTGGATTTAAAACTGGAATCGTGACTGCGCCCTAGCTACCCCAAAAAGGAAAGATTGGAAGGCTATGGGCGAGGCCCTGTGACGCCCAACCTCACGGCCCGCGCAACTTCCTGATCGGAGTGGGATGTGGGCCTGGAAGTGCGAAAAGGGGTGTGCCAAGGATTTTTGGGGAAAGCGGGGGAGTCTTAAGGGTATGAATGCAATTAGGCGAGTCAGGGGTGCGTGCGCAAGGGACTCACGGTCTGGTGGGGGCCGGGGCACGGTGGGTGACGGGTTCCGGAGAAGTCCCTTCGTGGTGGGGGTGGTCCTGAAAAGTTAGGC